ATATTAACTTGCACTGACAAGGGGCAGGCTTGCTTTCTAATTACTGAGAGAGTTCAGCTTTCTTTGTATGTATGGATCACTTGGGTTGTTACCAACATCTGGTGAAAATTTCATGTCATTAGCACCTCTAGTAATATATTTACTGAGAAAAATGGTGACGTGTTCAATACTTATTTTACCTGCTGTACCTGACTCTAAATTTAGCCTAAACTCAATGCACACCGTGGTCCTAAAGCCAATCCCTCACCCAAAGTCAGCATCTCTACCAGGCTTAAGTCCCCACAAGGCTGTGTTTTTCTGGAAAATGGTCCCCATGATGTGGCAAAAAATGTGTCCACACACACAAAGAGAGAGAGGCAGTTATATAATTCCCATGGGCGTGAGCAATAAAAATAAAAACTTTAAAAAAAACATTGAAAATGGCAAAAATAAGGAAAGTCAGCCAAGAGATCCCATCTGCAGTCCACAGAGTCGAGCTATATTTGTTTCTTTTTTTAATCATTTAATGACTAACAGATTCCACGCAGGAATGAGTTACACGTATGGTATGGATTTCCTAACCTGTCTTGCTTTACAGATTTTGCTTCAACTCGAGTGCCGACATCGAACACAACCTGAGGGAGCAGCAACGAACGGCCAAGGAATTTAACCGTGAGTGTTTTTCTTTTTTTTTTTTTTTTTTTCGAGGCCTTACTTTTAAGTTTAGTATTTTCCACAATAGAGGAGAAGGAGGGGGAGGGAAGCTGTTGGTCACCAGCTGCTCCCGCGGTCTGGGCCACGTCGGATGTTTCCACAGAGAGTGTTATGGGAAGCTCAGTCCAGATTGTGGCCCGCTCTGCAGATAATGACGACTCCTGTGTTAATCAGGGTGTTGTGGCTGATGTTTGACGAAGAGGGTGATAGGTTACCGGTTGTTTTTCCAACATGTTTTTACTCCAGTTTCCTGCCCCTTATCTGTTTTTCTTAGAAGTTGTTTTTCATGTTTCTTCCTCTGATACGTTTTCTCTCTATGGACCTCAGGAAGCGACAGAGATAACAAAGTTTAAATAAGAATAAAAAAGGAATAATGTAGGATTTTCTGTTTTTTTAATATATTGTATGTTTCCCTTTCCACAGCCAACATCCCTTTCTCCCTTTTTCCCTTCTACACTGATTCTTACCGCCTAACCTCGGATAACGCAGCGCTGCCCAGTGAGGGAGATCAGGTGGTCCCTTCCTCCCAGAAACGAAAAGCGTTCGGGGGCCACCAGAAGGAGGCCAAACCCCTCCCCCCTCTGCCCGACCCTGAGGAGTTCATGTCCGATGAGGCGGCTGATAACGAGGTCGAATTCTTCACCAGTGACCGCCAGAGTCTTCTGCCTAAAAGCTGCCCAAAGGCCATTTGTGCAGGCAGCAGCAAACACTGCGGCCAGGTAAATTATGCCTACAGGGAGAGCTCGGCTTGGGATGTGGGGTCCGGGATCGGATCCATGGCTTTCTCTTGGCCCAGCAGAGAGGACAGATCAATGAGCAGCGGAGGCAGGTTTGGAGCCAACAACCCCAAGTTCCCTCACTTTGCTCCGCAGAAAGAAAACAACCAGCATGTCGTGTCTGCTGTGTTTGGAAGCCAAGAGCCGGAACAACACAAGTCCTCCAGAATCCAGTTCTCCTGTCCAGGTTTTCCTGCTCAAGCACACACGAGCTCCACGACCCGTTCCACCGAAAAGCCGCAGATCCCCCCTCGTGTCCCCATCCCGCCTAAACCCTCTGCTTGTTTAAAGAGCGCCAGCGAGGAAGAAAAGCCGCCTAAAATCCCCCCGAGGGTCCCTTTAGTGCCGCCGTGCCCGCCCCGCACGCCCAGCCCCAAAAGTCTTCCCATTTACATCAACGGAGTGATGCCCGTCACTCAGAGCTTTGCTGCGAATCCAAACTACGTCAGCAGGGCCTCGCAGAGACCGCGGAGTGAGAGGGCCCCAACTCCCACACAGTCCTCGCCGCGGATTGTTCCCATTTTGAAGGACGGCAAACAGGCCAGCGCCACGCACTACATCCTGCTGCCGCCGGGCCGCCCGGCTCAGACCGAGAGGCGGGAAAGACTCCGGAGTGAACCGAACGGGACAGGAAGTACCGGCGCCTGGCTGAAGAGATAGAAACTGAAACCTAACGAGCAAAGAACCGTGACTGACATCGTTTAGAAGTACATTATTGCACAGTGTGTGAAAGCAGGTACTCACGTCTAATGTTTTTTTTTTTTTTACAAACTCTTTAAATGTTGTGTAATGTCACTGAGATGTTTTGTGTCTGTTTTTGACTGAACATTTTACCGGTCAGTATTCCATAGACCTCTTTTCTTTCTACAACACCGTACAGCACAGTGTTATCATACTTTCACAAAGAGTAGAGAAATAATATACCTCCTGCAACACATGTTCAAGCTGAGAAACTGCTGTTTTTGTATAGTAAAAATGTATCGTTAACGTTTTAACCCTGACAAAAACGTGCCACTAAAACCAAACTGTTTTTACCACAACAGAGCGAATAATTCAAGGTACAAGCTGGGATTGTACTAAACTGTTCATTGCACTTGTGCTACGTTTTTTTTTTTTTTTTTGAGAATGCTACTTGAAAATTCTAATATATTTATAGATAGAAGTCATTCTCACTTAAATATTTATGTTAAATGTTACAGTGAAGATTATGTTCAGCAGCATAACACACGTGGAAGTAAATTAATGTTTAACCTGATCTGCCTCATGAGTTTCACTTTATTTTCTTGACTGTTTGGATTTTATTGTAAAATTGTTTTATTTAACACAGATTTTAGTTTAGACCAACAGATGCCTGCCTGAAAATGTTTAATTCAAAAGGTACATTCAGCTATCTGAATAGTCATTTTTGAATTGACAAAACTTCCTGGACGTGAAGCAGAAAGTCCTTTTTTATTATTAAACTAATTTTCTTTAATATGAATGGAAGTATATTTTTATATTAATTAAAAAAACAAGACCAACTGAAATAATATACTGTAGCTTTATGCAAATTTGGTTTATGTGTATGAACTTAGCTTCCATTTAAAGTACAGGTTGTAGATGGAATAAAAAATTAAACAACATACACATATGTCAGACCAATGTTTACTTTTTTTTTTGCGTCAATTTCTTGGAAGTCCTCATGAAGGTTTGGTATCAGTTTAGGCCCTGGAAAAGGCTTCAAGTTTATCATTGTCAAAAGTAAATAACTGTTTTGTTTTAGTTGTATTTATGGAAATAAATAACTTATTCCTTGAATGATTTCTCTCTTCTTTACCCAACACCAATGCTATGAATATCTCAATTTTAAAGAGTTTTTGTTTTCAGGTTTTAACAGTTTATTTTCAACTCGGGATATTTTGGAGAGAAGAAAAATACTTAGACTGGGGTTCTCAAAAAAACAACAACAATTTAATAGATCAAAACAGGAAAACAAAAGCTACTGTTGAACATATTGACTATGGTAATAGAGCCGTAAATTATTTGTTAGAATGACAACATTTTCTTATACCATCTCCCACTTCACAGTTCATGTGCCATAAAAGAAAATTATGGCAAATCAGCAGGCAAATCACAAAATCATTCAAGTATGGTACTGCATCATCTCATGCTCACAAGCTGCAGGTTTTCTTTTTTTTTTCCTGTAGTTTCTGATTTCCTCAATTATTAGTTTCTGTTGGAGCAGCCATTTGCTCCAAAACCTATAAACCAATTAAAGAAAAAACTAAATTTTTATTTACTTAATTGTAGAAATTTCTACATATTTTAATTTGCTTGTTTGTTCTGCTGTTACGTGCTAAATGTTTAATCAAAATGCTGTGGCACAAAAGGAAAAAAAAGTTTCTCTTATTTAATCATTTCTTTTTTTTTGCAAAATAAGTTAAAAAACAAAAAAAAAAAACATAAAATCTTAGCTAACCCCTCCCCGCTGTCCCCTGCAGTTCCTTGTGGGCCTTGTCGAACGTTGGCTTGTTTTTCTACAGGCTTGGACCCGGCGGTCTCGTCTTCTCGGACCGAGGTCCTCGGTGCAGCTGTGGGGCTCTCAGGTGCAGGATGAGGGAGACCGGATTTACCGCCAGGCCCGGTTGAGCAGTTTGACCTCTGCCAGGCGTTTGCTTATCATGGTGGCGAAGAAGAGGGCGAAGAGTACGCTGCTGATCAGCATGTAGTCGTAGTCGTCCTTTAGCACGTCGAACTGCTTTGATGGATACACTCGTGTCTGGTAGATGTCGAGACCGTATGCCACTACCTGGAAAAAAAAACTATTAACACTTAAATAAAATTAACAAAATGTGTTTTTAATGTGACAAATACATGGGTATTCTAAAAAAAAACAAGCAACTAAAGTGGCAATTTATTCAATAAAAACACTTCCAAACAAACAAAAAGGCCTTTAATTTTTTTCCCAAATATTAAGACCAGACTCACCAAGCAGGTTGACTCCAGTCCAGAGGGGGCCGTGTAAATACCTCGCACTCTTGATACAGTCTGATTGTAGTTGATGAACCACTCCGTACGGATGATCAGCTCTGGTGCGTACGGTATCAAGTTCTCTTCCCTGGAGATGAAGGGTGACAGCTCAGATGCACATGTGGGAACAGGTAACAGAAACAGCTCAATTTTAAACCACTTGTGACCGGAAGACTCACCGGCTTTGCTCGGATACGATTTCTGGCCGGCGTGGGTCGAGAAACATCTTCGGTAAAGACATAATCCCTCCAGATGGCAACCCAACTGTGACGATCCAAACAGAGGCGCGTTGCAACAGGTTAGCAGAATGTTTAAGTGTTTACTTTCAGGAAAATATGAATTCGGATCTTACTGAGCAGGTGGCGGCTGGTGATTCCCTTCTCAGTCAGGGTGGCCTCCATGGTGGAGATGGACGAGGGGAAAATGTAAGACTGCTGAAGCACCTGAGGAGCATGAGGCCGATCCAGAGAGCTGAACACCGTGCTGTTGTAGAGCTCCATCCCTTCATAGAGTTCAATAACGGAGAACTCATTCCTGCGAGACTTGGTGCTCCAGTATTCATACTGTGAAGTCGGACGCAGACAGAACACGGTAGGTTCAGTGGGGTCACATTACCCTCATGGAGGGCTATTTTATAAATGCACCAGTCTTACCACAACCCAGTTTTCAGAGTGAACAACATGGACCGGTCCCCTGGCTTTTCTCTGGACTGCCTCGTGGAAGATCCGACCGGTCACGCCATCGATCAGTAGGATTCCGATAAAACTGCGCTCCTGATGCAAATCTGTGCTTTCAGTCACTACAGCCAGTAGGTTGGGGTTCAGGTACTAAAAATAAAAACAGATTCAAAAGTCAAATGACAAGATTATGGCTAAAATTATGATGCTAACAGCTGCAATGATGTCAAAAATATCTCAACAACTACTGCACATATCACTGGTGTTTTTTTGGTTGCATCTTTTGTCGTTTTTCTGTCATCCTCTGAACAAGAAATGTGTGCAGGAATAAAATTGTAGATCAAATATTTTATGTAAATTCTAAAATAAAGATTAAAAATAGTCAACGAAATATATAAGGATTTGTGGTTGAGATAAAATTATTCATGAGGAATTTTTCTAGCAAAATAAAATAAGAGATTTATCTAAAATTGTACAAGATGCTACAGTACCTAGCACAAATATATGTACAACAGGTTGCCCTTGATAAATAGATCAGTGACCTCAGTAGGATTTGCCTGGTTAAGTAACGGTAAAATAAAGTAAAATACCTTATACAGCACACTTCGGTCTCCCATCACTCTGCCCTGTGAGTGAACGTGCTCATTGGACCTTTTCCCTTTAACAGAAACAATCTTCTGGACCTCAGTTGGAATTACGACTTCCCAGACCTGCTCAGTCGACAAGTCCTGAGATCACCAAACACGCCAAGGTTAATGGTTTTATTTGGTATTCAAGCACCACTTTGTAGAAACTCACTGCTTAAACATTGCATGAAGGTTCAACTTGCCGTTCTTAGTCTGTAACCAGAGAGTCGTCCCTGACTGGAATCCACGAGATAAAAAAAGATGGACGCAGCCGTCTCCTGGAGCTGCTGTATCACGTTCTTGGTAGAAGGAAACGCTGAAACCTAGAATTATGAAATCCAATTTAACATTGTGTTTGTGTGTGTGTGTAACACATGACTAAGTGATATGTGGCGGAAGAAAAATTAAAATGTTGTTGATCTGGTTCACAGTTTCCTACATACCTTGTACTGGTCATCAACAAGTAGTAAGACTTTGGCGTAATCCTGGTCCATAAGTGGGAGCAAAAGTGACTGAAGTATGGGCTGAGACAGGACAGGAGGAGCAACCTGACTTTTCCTTCCAAAAATGGGGTTAAATACATGTAGTGTTGCCAAACCAGAGTCCTTTAATCAAATAAAATCAGAGAATTTATGAAAAATGGATTAAAATAGGATAAATAACCACATTGCACAAGTTAGACCACTAAGCTAAAGAAAATAAAACACTGAAGAGAAATCACTAAGATAATAACACCAGAGCTTTATTAGACACCTTGTCTTTGATGAGTAGCGTGCACTGTGGCGGGTGCGGGAAGTGCGCAGTCGTTCGTTGCACCATCAGATTGAAAGCAGCATTATCTGGAATGTTCTCCAGGTAGTGCTTCCACAGTATGCTGCCAGTCTTACTGTCGATCCCAAACAGCTGAACAGAAAAAGAAACAGGAGTTACCGGTGCAGGAAAAAGTGAGAGGACTTCTTGTATTACTCATGTTTTGTTCCAGTTTAGGCCCATCTGAACTCAGACTAAATAAGCCTCAACTAGTTTAACCACAACTGTGTTGCATGAATGCTCATCTCTCCTTCTGAAACACTAACAAACTGAATCAAATTAAAGGGCAAGCTCCAGCCTTGTACCTTTCCAGATGCTGTGACCATAACCATCATTTTCTGCAAGTTGAACTCGTCTCTGGACAGATTCTCGATCGAGACCTCGTTCTTGACCTGACTGCGGGGTTTGCGAGCGTCATAGAACAACTTCCAGAGGTGAGCGACCCAGGCCTGCAGCATGATGAGCTGAGAGGAGAGCCTCTTCAGCACCATAGACGTCAACCCATCTAGGACATAAACACAGAAGGTTTTTTCAAAACATTGAGAAAAAGAGCACAAAATAAATCCATAAAAAATGTTCTTCTTTACAGATGGACCAGGTTGAATACGTTGAATTTTCAAAATTTGTTAAAAATATTTTAGCTACACTCATCTTAATAGAGGGAGTCAAGTCTTATTGCAAATACAGACATGTGTTACCTTGTATAGCTGAATCCATTCGCAGCAGTAAAAACAAGACAAATACAGAAGTGAAGCTAACCAAACTCAGACGAGTCAAAATCTCAACATATTTAAGATTTAAACTGATCACTAGCACATAAATACAGAGAGAAGACGGTAAATAGATTTTAAATAGTGTAGCTGCTAAAGTGAAGATAAAACTAAAAGGCATTTGTCCAAATTGCACTTTCCACCTGAAATGAAATGATGCTGTATTAATGGCAAAAAGATGAGGATAAGCCCAGATCAGAGCTAGAGGAGAATTAGGATAAAAATAATTGTAGTTGATACGTCCAGACCTTATTTAGAAGCTCTATTGCAAATTGAAACAATAGTTAAGAAAATGGCAAAGAAAATAGAGAAAACTGAACAGATTGTAAAGTAGGGGTGTAAGAAAATATCGATACATTGAAATATCGCGATATTTCATTTCCTGATACTGTATCAATATTCTAAAGCCCTGTATCGATTTTTTATTAAGTTTTAAAATGTCAGCTTTCCTGCCAGCCGTTCATTTTTATGTTGTAGTTCAGCCTCTGACCGCTAGTTGGCAGCAGTGAGCCAGCCAAATGGCTCCTCTACCTCTTGAGGTAGAGGCTATTGTTAAGTGTTGGGTGACCATATTGTAAATTAATATTAAAAACTAAAAGCTGCAAAAAATATATTTTCAACCTATTTATTGGCAAATTTAGTCTGATAATTGAAAACATGGATGAAATAAGAAATATGAAACAAATAAAATAAAACACATACAAAGCAGAACACAGCTAAATGTATCAAAAGTATGTCTATGTAATATTAGAATTTTATGAGACAATGAATTTTGGTTTTTCATTTTATCCCCCAGTAAGAGGTTTTTATTTAACAGAGTTTTTGGACCAAAAAAATCGCAATATATCGCCTTGCTTACAGTATCGCAATATATCGGGATATATCGTATCGTCACCCCTTTGTCA